GCCCCACGGAGCCCCACTTGAGAAGAGCCGTGAAGCTGCTTCCTTTCCTGCTTTAGCCTGGCCTGGCCTCCCCTGGACAGAGTCCCCGCCTGCAGCCTCATGGAGGAGCAGGGCAGTTGGGGGGCAGCCCCCCAGGTCCCACTGGCTAGCACCAAATGACCCCAGCAGGTCCGTGGGTCACCTGCTTCAGGGCCTTAGCTGTGCCCAGGGTAGGAACACTGACAGGGGGCTGGCGGCGTGGAAACCAATGTCCCCCACCCTGGTCGCCTTGCCCAGGAATGGCTGGGCTGGGCCGGGTCAGGGTCAGGGTCAGGCCAGGGCTGGGCGCCCAGAGTCCCAGAACCGTGGCTCTTCCTATAGCGACGGGTGTCAGAGGAGTGGGGGGGGGGCTCTGTCCCAGGCGAGGAGCTGGGGGCTGCCTCTCCATCACCTCATGCATCTGAGCTGCAGGGAGCACACTGCCCCCCATCTTCACCCTCGCCCCGGGAGTGGGGCACTGGCTCGCACCCACCTGCAGGGCCCTTGCTCAGGCCCGATCCTGGCTGGTGGGCTTCGTCCTCACCTGGGTCAGTCTCGGTCCAGTCACCCGTGACAAAGAGGGCCATCTGATGGCCGCTTCCTCTCCCAAATCTGAGTGGCGATAGCAGTGACAGCAAGAGCCCCACTCTGGGACGTGGCCAAGGCCGGCCAGACCCTGTGAGGGCCGGACCCCGCCCGGCTTCACCAGACTCCAGCAAGCCCATCACTTTATCAGACCTGCGGGTGGGGGCTGGCAGCAGGGGCCCCAGGGAGCAAAGGCCCGTCCCCACATGTGCCCCCATTCCCTGTGCACGGCACCCTCCTCATGTGGCCCACTGCTTGCCTAGATTCCCATGCACCCTGTCCTCAGATGAGGGAACGGAGGCTCAGGGAGGCCACAACTAGCCCTGTCCCCGCACCACCCCTCCCTGAGCATGAAGCCCCCTGAGAAGGGGCAGGAGGGTGCAGTCACTGCCGAGCTGCTCCAGGGGACCCCCAGCCCCTCATCCTTTCACAGCCCCTCCATAGTCTTGACCTTGGCTCTGTGCATGGCCACCGAGTGGACGATGTTGGGGGCGGGCTGGCCAAGCACTGCACGCTGAGAAGGGCACATGCTTACCCTCAGCCCACCCCAGGGGCACAAGGTCACAGAGAAGAAGGATCCTGATGTTTGAGGCTAGGTGGCCAGTCCCACACCTGCCCTGACTCCAGTGCCCTCCCCAGGGTTCCCTCAAGAGCCCCAAAACCTGAAACATGAGCTGGCGCCAGGCCTGGGGCCTCCCAGGGTATCCTGCCTGGGTTGGGTTTTAAGAGGACGGGAAAGTGCCCGGTAGCCTGGGTCCTGTGGTTCAGGTTGGGCCCCAGGAGGAAGCCCGGAGCAGCCAGGCTGTAGTGGACCCCGGCAGTGGTCTTGGACCCTGGCAGCGGTCCCGGGCAGCACCTTATGGGAGATGGAGGGGGATGAGCCTGGGAAGGGACATTAACCGGAGGCAGGGACCTCCAGTGGCCTGGAGGCACCTGGGCAGCCAGCTCTGGGTGGTCAGCAGCTGCCCGGTGGCACAGACTTGTGCATGCAGGGCGTGTCCCCCAGCAGAGAGGAGCGAGGGGCCGCGTGTGAACCCCGGCTTGAGTCCAGTGCCAGCAGCAGGGACACTGCTGGGCCTGTGCCTCCCTGCTTTGGGGGGGGGAGTCTGTCCCTCACACTCCCCTCAGCCTGGGTCCCGGATGCTTCCCACAGACCCTCAAGGCCTCGCCCACGGCCCCGGTTCCCACTGTTCACTGTCCTAACCTCCAAAACCTCACAGCGCTTTGGGGCCAGACCCGTCCACCCTGCCTGTCCCTGGGGACCCTGCTGCCTTGCTCAGCCGCAGGTGACTTGGTGTCCAGCTCCAAGGCTGAGCAGGGGAGCCTGGTGGGGGTCAGAACGGCTGAAGCACCAGGCAGCTGGGCGCCGCACTCACTCACCCTGTCAGCTTTCCACTGCTGCTCTCCCACGATCCCCCACGATCTCCCACGATCCCCCACGATCCCACATGATCCCACACGATCCCACACGATCCCCCACGATCCCCCACGATCCCACAGGACCCCCCACAATTCCACACGATCCCCCACGATATCACATGATCCCACATGATCCCACACGATCCCACATGATCCCCCACGATCCCCCACGATCCCACATGATTCCCCACGATCCCCCACAATCCCCCACTGCACGCGGTGTTTTCTCCCTCTCACAGGCACCAGGGCCAAGTCAGGGCGTGGGGAGGGGACGACTCAGAGACCGAAAACCAGGCAACTATAAGGCGCTTGGGACAGGCCCCCCCTGAGCAGGAAAGAGATGCTCAGAGGGGCCCAGCCCAGCCTCTCCCACTGCCGTTGCCACCACCTTCCCCAGTGGGGACCTCTAATCATCAGTGGACCTGCTGGTCTGTGGGGCGTGTGGCTGCCTTGTGGGGGAAAGCTCAGCCCTGGTACGCAGCACACCAAAAGGACCCGACGCCCATACGCCCACGGTCTGGGGCCGGGTGTCGGCTGTACTATAGGGCCGTCTCAGTCCACCTGCTGGGATGATTTCTGGGGTAAGCCCGTCAGCAGCTCCCCGGCCCAGTGGGTTCGGCCACTTCCACCCCTCGTGGCCACGAGGCCACGTGTGACTCAAGCTGGCCCGGGGCTGCTCACTGCATGCCTGGAGCCAGGAACCGGAAGCCCAGCCAGGGTCTGAGGCGGTGCCAAGCCGGGCGCTGCACTGTGGGGCAGGGTCCTGTCGCTGGGGGTGCTGCCCCCTGAGCCCCTCTCCAGAGAGGGTGAGGCCCTGGCAGCCCCATCAGCCCCAGGAAGTCTGTGGGGTCCGGCTTCACAGAAGCATGCCTAGGGAAGCTGCAGGGGTGAGGGGCACAGCGGGAGGATCCCTGCAGGCCAGGGCTGGGGAGCCCTCAGGAAACCAGGCCCCACCTGGCAGCTACGCCCATCTCTGCCTGGCTCCGGCTGCTGTGGCCAGCCGAGAGTGAGTGCCCACTGTTTGCCTGGGTGAGGGGAACGGCAGGCCCTGTCCCGCCCACCCACGTGAAGCTACTGGGCTGGAGCCAGCTCTGGGGCTACAAAAGGCTCCTGCCCATTCAGGTCCTTCCTCAGACGCTGCCCCTGGGGACCTCTCCCCTCCCTCCGTAGAATGGGTGTCCGCGGGAGGAAGCTGGCCCCACTCTGGGCCCTGGCCCTCACCCTGGCCTGTGCCCAGCACACAGGTAAGGCTCCCCCCGAGCCGCTTTCCCAGGGTGGCCCTGACATCCCCGTGGTTCCCCTACATCTGGGGGCAGCTCTGGGCCCGGGAGGGCGGCAGGCAGCTCCGAGGCCTTACCCTGGGCCCCGGGGAAGCTGAGCATGTCTGAGAGTGGCTCCCGGCCCCTTCCTATCCATCCATGTGTGATTTCCTGCTGCTCGCTGCCTCTACCCCCTGCTCTGAGCAGGTCCTCGGGGCCCTGCAGCCTGGCAGAGCAGCCCGCTTGTCCCTGGGACCCCCTCACCACACGGCCCCGGTCCACCAGCTTGTTTTCCACATCTGGGCCTTGAGAGGGGTTTCCAGGGGGCCTCAGCCTTGGGGGGTGGGTGTGATCGTGAGGTCCATGCCGTGAGGATGCTGGGAAGGGGCTCTCAGACCCTCTGAGTCCCCCTCCCACCCAGGTCTGCACCCTGTGGCTTCTGTATCCCAGGGGACGGCTGGGTCCCGGACAGGGGCTGGCTGACAGGGTGCTCCCAGAGGAGCTGCCCCGGGCAAGGGGCAACGTTCCCGAGGCCCTCAGCACTGTGGCCACCACAACATGGCACCCTGCGCGCCCACACCCTGCAGTCCCTGGCCTCCTGCCGCCGCGCGCGGGGCCAGCCCTTGCTGGGCACTCCCGGGGCACCTGCGTCAGGGATGAGCACAGACTGTCCCTGCAGGGTCAGGGCCTGGGCCGGGCAGCCTCACCCCGCTCGGCTCCGCATCCCCCAGTCCGTCCCAAATCCTCCCCCAGGGCCCTGGTTGTCTCCTGACACACTCAGCCGACCTGTAGTTTTACTGTCTGATCCCTCCACAGGCTGCCGTGCAGTGTGCTCTTTATGTCCCAAGCAGGGAGATACTCAGTGTGAATGAAGGAATAGTGAATGAATGAATGCCACATCAGGGCCAGGGGACCCCCAAGTGCTCGTGGGGCCAAGCTGAAAGAATGCTCATAGAGGCTCATGGGCCTGACGTGGGCAGCATGGGCAGAGACCCTCCCCACAACCCCAGCCCTGAGCAGAGAGAACCCCCACCTGTTCTGGGCCCTCGCGTCTGCCCATCCCTCCCTCCGTGCCCTGCCGGCCTGGCTCAGGCCCAGTGTCCTCTCTTCTTCCCATAGGCCAGGCCCAGGATGGCTCTGTGGAACATGGCCACAGGTCCCCAGACCTTCCCGTCCCCCAGGAGCTTGGTGGTGAGTCGACCCCTACCTGTCAGGGCTGCCCTGCCCCACTCCCTTGGGGCCAGAACTTGGGGGGCTGGAGGACACCCCCCCACACAGCCCCGGTCCGTCACCTTGTGGCCCCCTGAAGGCTACTTGTCTCCCCGTGGCGGCTTCAGACAGGAGGACAGCCTAGAGGCCGGAGCTTATAGTGACATCCTCCTGTCTCCGCCAAAGTCCTGATCCCTTAGCCACATATGTGTCCCCTTGGCCTGGGGCGGGGGCTGGCGGGTGGCCTCTCTGGGGATTCCTGTGCCTCCATGCTGGGCATGCCGCCCTGGGAAAGGGTCATTCCCCCAAACTGGGCTCAGAGGGAGGCGCGTCCGTGACTGGCCTCAGTGCCCAAGGGGTCGTCCTCGGCGCCTGGTGCTGCCTTGGGCATTTCTGAGACTCTGGGCACCAGGGACGAGTTCCGGGCCAAATTCTGGGCTGGAGAGCTCACAGCCCCTAGGGGCAGCCCAGAGGGAAGGCCACTGGCCTGCAGGAGCCTCGGCTGACCCCATGGACCTGACGTCCAGCTCCAAGCTGGGCGTGGTGCCAGCGGGCTTGGCAAGGGCGGCAGACGCCCGCCTCCAGCCACAGCCGTGTGTGCAGGCGGCCTGACACGGTGCCCGCATTCCTGCAGGCCGCCCGCTCCGTGGGATGACCTTCCTGCCCCCTCTGAAGGCAGCCCCAGTGGTGCGAGGTGAGAGAGGGTCTGTGAGGCTGGGCGGGGGGCCGCTGGGAGGGGTCCCGCTGCCCAGGTGGATGCATTCCCAGGATGGCCTGGGCCCAGGCAGCTCCTCCCCAGCCGGCCGGCCCCCGGGGAGCCGCGTCCCTGCTTGGGGCGCAGGACGGCACCCTCAGGCCCGCCTTGGTCCACAGCCCGGAACCCCGCGCACAACGGGCGCGTGTGTAGCGCCTGGGGCGACTTCCACTACAAGACCTTCGACGGCGATGTCTTCCGCTTCCCGGGCCTGTGCAACTACGTCTTCTCGGCGCACTGCGGCGCCGCCTACGAGGACTTCAACATCCAGCTGCGCCGCGGCCGGGCGTCCAACGCCACCACGGTCATCAGCGTCACCATGAAGCTTGATGGCATGGTCGTCCAGCTGACCAAGAGCTCCATCCTGGTCAACGGCCGCCCGTGAGTCTGGGTGGTAGTGGGGGGGACGTGGGGTCGTTCCCGAGTGCGGGCCCAACCGGGCACTCCCCAGGCCTCTGTGCTGGGCCCCCTGCGTGCGCCCCCAGAGGCCCAGGGCTCTTTTCCTGCCTGCGGAAGTGGCCCCCCTTCCAAAGCTCCTCTGTGACAACAGAGCTCCGGGGTCCCCCATCCTCGCGCCTGTGGCACTGTCCGTGGGCACAGGGCTCTGGTCACAAACGTGCCCATAGGGGCGCTCCCTGGCCAAGGGCCAGACCTCCATTGCCCCGTCCCTGAGTGCCCTCGGGGCCTCAGCCTGGCCCTCTCTCCACAGAACTCAGCTGCCCTTTAGCCAATCCGGGGTCCTCATTGAGTTCAGCAGCAGCTACTTGAAGGTGGTGGCCAGGCTGGGCCTGGTCTTCATGTGGAACCAAGATGACAGCCTCCTGGTGAGGCCGGGGCCCGGGGCCGGGGAGGGGGGCACCGCCAGCCCAACAGCCTCCCCAGAGAAGGACGAAAGTGCTCTGGGCATGGGTAGGGGGGATGGCCAGACCCCACTGCACAGGGCCGGTGAGGGGGGCGCCCAGGGGGACCTAGTCCCCCCCAGTGGAGACCCTGCTGGCGTGGGGGGCAGGCATCCACAGCCCACGACACCTCTGTGAGGAGCCCCAGCCCCTCCTTGGGAATGTCCCACACGTCCTCTGTCCTCCCTGAGATGTGCCTGTGGGTCCAGGCGTCTGATGTGTGTTCTCATTCCAGCTGGAGCTGGACCCCAAGTACGCCAACCAGACCTGTGGGCTCTGCGGAGACTTCAGTGGCCAGCCTGTGTTCAATGAGTTCTTCTCCCATGGTCAGCCCCCTCCCCGCGGCTGCCCCACGGTAGCTGGGCTCCTTCCTCAGTGCGCTCCCTGGAAGGCTGTCTTCCAGAATGTCCTCAGCTTGTGTGCCTGGGCGCACCCACACTCAGAGCCTCACGCACGCACCCACACGTGCACAGATGAACCAGCACACATGCACACGTACCTCCCGTGCCCTCAGCACTGTCTCCGAGCAGACCCTCTCACAGTCTCTTGGGCCTCCTGCTGCCGGGAAGTGGTATTTCATGTGGCCCACACCAGTAGGAGTCCCCCACCCCCAGGTCCCCCTCGCCAGGCCTGTGAAGCCTACAGGAAGCTCACCCATCAGGGGCTTGCCGCCCAGTGGAACGCACCTGCTCAAGCGTCTGGGGGCCCCGTACAGGCTTGGCTGGGCTCCGAGGGCCAGGGGAGGTCAGGGTCACTCTCCAGCCCTCTGGGCTGCATGCCGACCTGGACTTGGAGAGCTTACCAGGCCTAAACCCTCTGCCTGCAACCCCGAATGACTTGGGTGGTTCCCCACTTAATCTTCAGACTCCCTGAACATCCTTTAACCCAGCAGTGTGTCTGGGGGAGGCGGTGCAGCGGGGACGCCTCGGGCACCTTGGGGGAAGGTGCAGGGGCACCGGAAACCTGAAGAGCCTGGCGTTGCGCTTCCTGCAGGTGTCAAGCTGACCCCCATCGAGTTTGGGAACCTGCAGAAGATGGACGGTCCCACGGAGCAGTGTCAGGACCCTGTCCTTGGACCCCTGAGGGACTGCTCCCCTGGCACTGTAAGCCCTGACGTGAACGGGAGCCGGGGGTGGGTCTTGCTCCTGTGGGGCCGAGGCGGGGTGGGGGCCAGGAGTCCAGGGGAGGGTCCGGGGCCTGCACTCAGCCTGGCCTCCCGGCTCCGCACCCAGGGCATCTGCGAGGAGATCCTGAGCAGCTGGATGTTCTCGGGCTGCCGCGCTCTGGTGGACGCCCACAGCTATGTGCAGGCCTGCCGGCAAGACCTCTGCCTCTGTGAGCACGCTACCCACAGCAGCTGCATCTGCCACACGCTCGCCGAGTACTCCCGCCAGTGCGCCCACGCTGGGGGGCAGCCCCTGGACTGGAGGGGCCCCCACCTCTGCCGTGAGTGCCCCCATCATGTTGCTCTGCTTTGGCCCGGAGGTGGGTGTGGGATGTGACTTGGCTCCGCCCTCCCCGCTGCAGCCCAGACCTGCCCCCTCAGCATGGAATATCACGAGTGCGGCTCGCCCTGCGCAGACACCTGCTCCAACCTGGAGCACTCCCAGCTCTGCGAGGACCACTGCATGGCCGGCTGCTTCTGCCCCGAGGGTGAGAGGAGCCCCCTGAGAATCACACAGACGCCTTCAGGGCCCCTGGGTCTGAGGAGCCCCTGAAGGGCAGAGCGACCTTGGGCAGAGGGCGGGTCCCTCCACCTGCTCAGGGGGTGGACTCAGCCTGGCACTTGCCGTATGGCCTGCCTGCTCCTGCAGGGATGGTGTTGGATGACCTTGGCCAGGCCGGCTGCATCCCTGCAACCCAGTGCTCCTGTGTGTACAACGGGGCCATCTACGCTCCAGGAGCCAGCTATGCCACAGACTGCACCAACTGGTAGGACCCCAGGCCCCCACCCTCCTGTACCCCCGGACGTGTCCTGGGATGGCCCCCGGGGAGGCCATGGCCCAAGTGCCGGCTGCCATCTCTCACCTGGGGTCCCGGGCAAGGGCCAGGGGCTCATCATGTAGACACCAGTGGGCCCGATCTGTGCAGTGATGCAGGCAGGCCTGGGCAAGACCCGTGTCCACCTGCCAGTGTGGAGGCTGGGCTGCATGCTCCCAGGGGCTGCACACGCTTGGTCTCTGCCCGTACTCAGCACCTGCTCCGGGGGCCAGTGGAGCTGCCGGGAGCTGCCGTGCCCGGGCACCTGCTCAGTGCTGGGGGGCCCCCACTTCTCCACCTTTGACGAGAGGCAGTACACAGTGCACGGGGACTGCAGCTACGTGCTGGCCAAGGTACGGGCCCCGGGGTCCTCGCTTCAGCACAGGGCTTTCAGCTGCGGCCGCCCTGCCCGGGCTGCAGACAGCTGCGGCATCTGTGGCCCCCAGCTCCTGGCGCCACCCCACAGGATTTCCAGGGTGGGTGGGGAGGCAGGGAGGGGCCTGGAGCCTCTGGGTTGAGCGTGAGGACCCGTGTCTGCAGCCCTGTAAGAGCAGTGCCTTCACTGTGCTGGCCGAGGTGCGCAGGTGCGGCCGGACGGACACTGAGACCTGCCTGAGGAGCCTGACGCTGAGCCTGGGCGGGGGGCACACGGTGAGAGCAGATGTGGGTTGGGGGGGCACACAGGGAGAGCAGACCCGGGGCCGGGGGGGTGCATAATGAGAGTAGATGTGGGTTGGGGGAGTCTGTGTCCCTCATGCAAGTGACCTCTGCCCAAGCCCTTGACCTGGCGTGGGGGGCGAGGGGCCAGGGCTCAGCCTGAGGACCCTCCTACCCCACGGGTCTCTGAGTGATGGTCCCCAGATGGAAGCACTTGGGGGAGGGGCACCATGGCCTCCACGCCTGCCCCCAGCAGCCCTGGAAGGAGGGACCAGGGCACCCCTGGTGGCTCGGCTTCATAGAAGACACCTTGTCTCTATTTTATTTTATTTTTAATTTATTTTTGTTTTTTATTTTTATTATTTCATAAAATCACTTGGGTTTTTACCTGAGAGAATGCTCGGTCCTTGAGGGAAACGTAGACAAACAAGCTGAGCCCAGGGCAGAACTTGGCTCATCAGCCCCTCCTCGAGGGAGCCTGTGGCCCCCAGGGGCAGGGGTCCTGCCGGCACATGTCACAGCCTCTGGGGCCACCGGGGCCACTGGCTGAGCCCTGACCCTGCTCCCTGCTGCTCCCAGGTCATCACGGTCAAGGCCGGCGGGGAGGTGTTTGTGAACCAGATCTACACCCAGATGCCCATCTCAGCAGGTGAGGGTGTCGGGCCTGCCCCCTGAGGGTCCCGCCCCTCACAGCCCACTGAGGCCTTGTCCCGTGTCCACAGCCAACGTCACACTCTTCAGACCCTCAACCTTCTTCATCGTCGCCCAGACCAACCTGGGCCTGCAGTTGAGTATCCAGCTGGTGCCTATGATGCAGGTGTTCGTGAGGCTGGGGCCTGAGCTCCGCGGGCTGACCTGTGGTAAGAGGCGCCGCCTGCCCTGGGAGCCCGGGCCCACCCTCGGCGGCCAGGGCTCACGGGGCCTCATGCTTTGCCCTCCCACCCAGGCCTGTGCGGGAACTTCAACCAGAACCAGGCCGATGACTTCCGGACCCTCAGCGGCGTGGTGGAGGGCACGGCCGCCGCCTTCGCCAACACCTGGAAGACCCAGGCCGCCTGCCCCAACGTCAAGAACAGCTTCGAGGACCCCTGCTCCCTCAGCGTGGAGAACGGTACGTGGATCCCCACAGTCCCAAGCCCCACCTGGGTGCCAGTGACCCCGGGCCGCAGAATCCAGTCTGGCCCCGGAGGAGGGATTCAGGAGGTAAACAGGCAAGCTCGTCAACTAATTTCCCATTACTTCTGGTAAAGCTGTGGTAACTTCTGGAAGAAGAGGAACAGGGTGTTGTGGGGGGGGTGGAGGCGTGCCCTCAGCGTGCCTGCCCACCGACCGTAGCAGGGGCACCCGGGAGGGAGCCTGGGACCCTGTGCACTCCTGGCGCCGTTCCCTACGGGAGGTTGTACACGTCTGTGTAGCTTCCGCTGGACGCCAACTGTCCAGCCTGCTGACCTCTGTCCACAGAGAAGTACGCTCAGCACTGGTGCTCCCGGCTGACGGATGCCCACGGCCCCTTCGCCCGGTGCCATGCTGCCGTGAACCCTGGCATCTACTACTCGGTAACGCCCACCCACCCACCTCTCCCCTCCAGCCACACGGCTGCCCTCGGTGCGGGGAGACGGGTTCCGCAAGGGTCCGACATGGTCCAAGGTCTGGAGTTCATCTGTGCCTCTAGCCCTGTAACCAGGCATGGGGGCCGACAGCCCCTGAGGGCTTGTGTCCGGCCGGGCCCTGGAGTCCAAATGACAGATCAGTGGTGGCTGAGATGCTCTGGGGTCTGAGCCTGACCACACGGGCTGGCACCTGTTGGGTCCAGACAGGAGGGGCTGTGGTCCTTCTAGCACCCACCTGGAGGGGAGCTTGGTGCCAAGATGGTCTGCAGAGGGCAGGGAGGCCCCTGGTGCGGGCTCGAGGAGGGGTCCTAGAGGAGGCAGGGGCGGCAGCGTGGGGGATGCTCATGGCGTGTGGGTGACAATGGCCCCGTCCCCAGAACTGCATGTTCGACACGTGTAACTGTGAGAAGAGCGAGGACTGCCTGTGTGCGGCCCTGTCCTCCTATGTGCACGCCTGCACCGCCAAGGGGGTGCTGCTCAGCGGCTGGAGGGACGGCGTGTGCAGTGAGTGTCCCCCCCCAAACACGGGCTCTGGGGCCTCTGTCCCGTGCGGGGCTTGGAGCCCTGGAGCGCCCTGGCCAGCCGGGCCTGGGACCCTGCAGCTGGAGCAGGGGAGGTGGGTGTGGGTGTGGGTGACAGCTGCCGTCCTGACTGCCTCCCCCCACCTGGCACCCGCAGTGAAGCCCACGACCACCTGCCCAAAGTCGCTGACCTACCACTACCACATCAGCACCTGCCAGCCCACCTGCCGGGCCCGGAGTCACGAGGACGTCACCTGCGGCATCAGCTTTGTCCCCGTGGACGGCTGCACCTGTCCCCATGGCACCTTCATGGATGATGCGGGCAAGTGTGTGCCGGCCACCAGCTGTCCTTGCTACCACGGGGGCTCTGTGGTCCCCAACGGGGAGTCGCTGCATGAGCGTGGGGTCATCTGGTAAGAGCCCCTGCCAGATGGGCTTGGTGGGCAGGGTGGCCGGGACGGGGGACCCTCTGACCACCCTCTTGTCCCAGCACCTGCACACAAGGCACGCTGACCTGCATCGGAGGCCAGGTTCCCACCCCAGGTGAGTCCACAGAGAGGGAGGGGCTCTCATTATCTCCAAGCTTCTGGGTGGCCCACCCCCCAAGTCAGTGTGGCTGGTGGGTGTGGAGGGGTTTTTCTGTCAGGCCAGCTCAGTGAGGGGGTGGTGGCATGTGTGAGCATGCCGCGCACATGCACACCGTGGACACACACACGCTCACTCACACACACGCATGTGCCATGCGCACACACACACCATGGACACATATACACTCACTTACACGCACGTGCCACACACACACACACTGTGGACACATATACACTCACGCACACGCACGTGCCACACGCACACGCACAAGGTGGACACATATACACTCACATGCACGTGCCACATGCACACGCACACCATGGACACATATACACTCACATGCACGTGCCACACGCACACACACACCGTGGACACACACACGCTCACTCATGCACACGCACGTGCCACGTAAACACGCACACCGTGGACACATATACACTCACTCACATGCACGTGCCACATGCGCACGCACACCGTGGACACATATACACTCACGCACAAGCAGTGCCACGTGCACACAGACACCGTGGACACATACACTCATGCACACGCACGTGCCACGCACACACGCACACCGTGGACACACACCGTGCACACGTGCACACGCACCCCGCTGGCTGAGCCTCAGGGCGGGCAGCACAGACTCGGCCGCTGGGACACACCGTGTGCAGCCGCGTCTCTCAGAGCCAGCTTGGTGGGTGGTGGTTGGGGACCCTGAATGGCCCCTACCTCCCCAGTCTGCACCCCACCCATGGTGTACTTCGATTGTCGCAACGCCACACCGGGGGCCGCCGGGGCCAGCTGTCAGAAGAGCTGCTTCACCCTGGACATGGACTGTGTGAGAGCCCCCACGCCCCCAGTGACCCCCCGTGGGCTTCTGCTGAGGGGCCCTCTAGGGCTGCTCCTGGGAAGACCGCTGCCTGAGGGCTCCCTGGGCTCACTGCAGGCCGTGGGGGGGGCGCCCTCGGCTGTTGACCCTGGCCAACTGAGCCGTGTCTCCTGTGCCCCACAGTACAGCTCCCAGTGCGAGCCTGGCTGCGTGTGTCCTGACGGGCTGGTGGCTGATGGTGAGGGCCACTGCCTCACTGCAGCCGATTGCCCCTGTGTGCACAACGAGGCCAGCTACCCGCCTGGCCAGACCATCCGGGTGGGCTGCAATACCTGGTACGCGGCAGGGAGGGGGCTCCCTGCAGTGGGGGGTGCAGCCCAGCCCTCAGGGTTTGCCCATGGCCCCCGCAGGGGCCCGTCCCTACCCCCCACTCCCCATGGCCAGCTTGGGCCTGACCGGTGCCCCCTGCCCCCAGCACCTGTAAGAACAGAATGTGGCAGTGCACAGAGGACACCTGCCTGGCCACCTGCGCAGTGTACGGGGACGGTCACTACCTCACCTTTGACGGGAGGCGCTACAGCTCCAGTGGGGACTGTGGGTACACGCTGGTTCAGGTGCGCAGTCCTGGGGGCTCCCCGGCTGTCCCGCGGTCCTACAGTGCAGCTCTGGGCACCCCAGCCTCCGAGCCGCAGGAACAGCCTCTGCCTGGCCGCAGGACCACTGTGGGGGCAACAGCACCGCCAACGGAACCTTCCGCGTGGTCACCGAGAACGTCCCCTGCGGGACCACGGGCGTCACCTGCTCCAAGGCCATCAAGCTGTTCCTGGGGGTGAGTGGGGGGGGTGGTGGGGAGGGACGGGGACCACCTTGGAGGGATGCCTGGGAAGGCGAGTGGGGACAGGCCTGAGTGAGCCCTTCTGCGCAGAGCTACGAGCTGAGGCTGAGTGATGGCGGTGTGGAGGTGATAGAGAAGGGTGTGGGGCAGGAGGTCCCCTACTCCATCCGCCAGATGGGCATCTACTTGGTGGTGGACACCGAGGCCGGCCTGGTGCTTCTGTGGGACAGGAAGACCAGCATCTTCCTCAAACTCAGCCCTGAGTTCAAGGTGGGCCCCCAACCCCCGGGATGGCCCGCCCTCACCCTGAACCAGATGGTGTGCCTCCAGGGAGGCGGTAGGAGGGAGGCCCTTCGCTGTGCGTGCTGTGTCTTGTAGCTGCCAGGACGCTGTCACAAACTCGTGGCTCCTCGTGGTTCTGGACACTCAAAGTCCCGTGCAACTGTCCCCGGGCCCGTTCCCTCTGGGGGCTCTGGGGGAGGATCCCTCCTGCCTCCTCCAGCGTCTGGGGCCCCAGGCGACCCTCCTGCCTCTGCCTGCATCCTCACGTTACTGTCTTCACTGGTGTCTGTGCCCACACGTCCCCGTAGCCACAGCCCACGCCCACCGAGGGCATCCTCATCTCAGCCGGATCGCCGTCTGCAGTGGCCCTATTTCCACATGAGGCCACACTCACGGGTCCCGGGTCAGGACCTGAGCTGGTCTGTAGGGGACACCACAAAGCCCCCAGTGCTCCCCTCCTGCACCCCCTTTCCTCCGGGAGGGACGCCACTGTGATCCTGTGTGCTGAGTGGGGCCCCACACACGGTGAAGGTGGAGAGCCACCCTGCACACTCGGAGCCCCCTCCCCTGGGGGGCTGTGGGGATGTGGGGCCCCAGGGGAGCGTGTGGGGTCACAGGAGGCTGGGCTGGGCTCTGGCCCCTCCTGCACACACCCTGAGCCCCCCGTGCTGCCGTCCCTGGACTGCAGGGCCGGGTCTGCGGGCTGTGTGGGAACTTTGACGACAACGCCGTCAATGACTTCACCACGCGGAGCCAGTCCGTGGTGAGCAGCGCCCTGGAGTTCGGCAACAGCTGGAAGTTCTCCCCATCCTGCCCCGACGCCCCGGCCCCCAGGGACCCCTGCACCGCCAACCCGTACCGCAAGTCCTGGGCCCAGAAGCAGTGCAGTATCATCAACAGCGCCACCTTCGCCACCTGCCACGCCCACGTATGCGGCCGTTCCCCGGGGCGCCCGGGAAGGAAGGGGCGGGCAGAAGTCGGGGGGCCCGCGTCACCGTCCACCCTTTAGACCAGCCTGTGGTCAGCCCCGGGGGCCCACGCGTCTGCTTTCCCCGGCTCTGAGGGGGAACCGGCCCAGGTTGGGCCATACTGCAGGCCTGACCCCCAGGAGCCCCAGACCCCGAATCCGAAGGCTCTTCCCCCTCCCCCCAAGGTCGACCCCGCCAAGTACTACGAGGCCTGTGTGGGTGACGCGTGCGCCTGTGACTCGGGGGGTGATTGTGAGTGTTTCTGCACGGCGGTGGCCGCCTACGCCCAGGCCTGCCACGACATGGGCGTGTGCGTGTCCTGGCGGACCCCGGACATCTGCCGTGAGTGCACACAATGCATCGTCAGGGTGGAGGAACTGACAGAGTAGTGTGTGATTAAGACCGGTCAGCCACGGGTTGGGCAGGAGGCGTTGGAAAGGAAAGTGAAACGTGGGAATGGGGGATGGGTGTCGTTGGT